GATATAGCGTTTGTTTTAGCGTGATTGTTGAAAATAAGTGTATCATAAAGTTGTATTCGGAAAGAATAAACCAGTTTTATTAAGTAAGGATTTGTGTCGCTAAAGTTTCGTCGGAACGAAGTTACGGAAAATTAATTAACAAACGGAGACGTAACAATATGTATTACAACGTAAAAACATTTCCGTAGACCCTAAAAATTAATTTTATTATTTGTGTATAAGCATAAACCAACAGAGACCCCTCTAGACTTTAAAATAAAGTTTAATGTTTATTTATTATTGGAAAAGAATTTCTGTTCGTCTCAAAATGAGCGTGATATTAGTGTGTAAAGTTAAAACTACTTCTGTGCATTTTAAAATTAATTTTACTAATGTTTAATTACGCAGAACCATGAAGCAACACAGGTAATCCATAAAATAACTTTATCAGTATTATTATTTGTAGAAGCGTAAAGTGTACATCTTTAATATTTACGAGGAATTTTATTATTTTTCAAATATAATTTATTTTTAAGATTTGTATACACTTATAATGGAAATGTATATCTTTTTAGGTTTCTGTATTGAATGTTATTTCTATGTACTTCTCAAATGCGGATAAAATTAACTAATACTTATAACTCTATAGTTACTTGTTATAACGGAAGATAAAAAAAAATAAAACCTCAACTTGTACCCCATGATAGAAACTGATCAAAATTATTGTTATCAGTTTGTAATAGTTTAAAATATTATTATACAGGCTCTCTTACGTAAGTTTTGATTCGGGAAGTATTTTAGATATTACCATTTGTTAAAAGAACTTCTGCTACATATACTTAACTTTTTATTACATTTAAAGTATGTCTTAAATTCAAGAGGAGAATTTCATTATATTAAGATATATATATATATACATATACCAACCCAATAACGTTCTTTCTGCAGTTCAACCATGAAGACTCAAATAAAATTTTGATAAGATAAAGAACGTAAAAAGAGAAGTTTTGTTGTTTCACCACTAGAAGTTACAAATATATACATTAAATTTTCTTAGGTTTGTTGAAAAGAAAACAACAGTAAATACAAAGGTTAACTTAGTTAATTGTTGTATCTATATCCCAAAGTAATGATGTCGCTATGAAACATATATATATTTGATTTCGGCTATGTAAAATAACTAGAAAAATAAGTAGAATAACTTCCTGTCCTAAACATGATAACAGGTATTGGCGCAATAGTACTGTAGAAGGATCAATACTAAGAATACTCTTCTTGGTTACAGGTTAGCGTTTGGTGTGCTAATGGCCAGCTGCAACCAGTCGCCATACCAGGATAGCGCCATCAGAGCCCCCTGCCGACACCAGATTTCTGTCACCTCGTAAAAATTTCACAACTGTTGTCCCTGAACTTCCATGTTTATACTCCCGAAAGGCTGCCTGTAATAAGGACAGAAAGAAGTTTGTGATCATAGTTTGAACAATTAAAAAACAAAATAACATAATAGCAAAAGGAGTGGGTTGACACTGAAAAACATCATGTGTGAACAAGAGTGAATATATATACATATATATATGTATATATGAAACTCGGCAAAAAAGAAGAGGTAATCCGGGTTACATAGTATATAAAACACGTCCAAAAAGACTAGGGAATCCAAGGTACATAATATATACAAAATTCGTCCCAAAAAACAATGGAATTCAAGGTACAAAATATATACAAAATTCGTCCCAAAAGATTATGGAATCCAAGGTACATAATATATAAAATTCGCCCCAAAAGACTAGGGAATTCAAGGTAGATAATATGTAATACTCGACTCAAAGGACTAGGAAATCCAAGGTACATAATATATATATAATTCGGCATAAAGATAAGGGAACTACAAGTATATGACACACTAAACTTTGCACCAAGACTAAGGTAACTCGATACAGAATATCTAATCAAAAACACCTTAGGTGTGAAAAAAAAAAAAGGTGCGGCCAAAAAAGGATTGAGAATGAAATTAAAATTGGCGGCTAAACTGGTAACTACACTTATAGCATTGATAAGAATTTTACAGCAAATATTCATTTATTAGTTATCCGGGCCGCGTTTTCGTTCAACTTGAAACATGATGGTGGGTAAAACAAAATACGCGACCTAGCTAACTAATGAATGAAGAATTCCTGTAAATTTATTATCAATGCTATAAGTGTAGTTACCAGTTTGGCCGCACCTTGTTTTTCACACCTAATGTGGTTTTGATTAGATATCATGACTTTTTGTCAATACACACCATCAAACCACAGCAAGTCAGAAAGTGACACTCGATAGTAACCAACATTAGTACCAAAACTAGGGGACTCCAGGTATAGGATATGCCTACTTTAGTACCAAGGCTAGGTGGCCCCAATATATGACATGCTAGCTTTAGTACCAATATTAGGATACTCTAGATACAGGACATGCCAACCTTAGTCCCAAGACCAGTGAACTCAATACATAAGGACATGCCAACCTTAGTACTGGGATTAAGATACTCTACGTGCATGATATAGAACTCAGCACTGACACTAGGGTAAATAGATACAATATATATTTCATATGATACTTATATTATATATTCAATATTCAAGACATCCTGGAACACAAAATTATCTACCTTCTTATTTGGACAAGGAGCATATTTATAAAACAAACTTATTGCAATTGGTTAATCTAAGAGAAATATTAACCGTAATAATGGGACAGATTTACCTTTATAAAAATATATTGGAACTGTAACAAGAATATCTTTATCTTAGTATAAGAACCAAGGCATTGGTACACGTATATGTTGGTATAAGAAATATTAACTTATAATGGCTGGAGACGGCTTGAATGGGTAATGAATAAAAACTTTAATATAAGTTT